TGATGTTAGTTACACCAACCATTTGGCTAATGCCCGATGATTTCTTCTCCGAAAAAAAACACATTACTATGATGTTCTTGACAGCCTCTTTTTTTTTATAGACTAACCTTATTAAGATTCAAGAAATGTCATATTTACGTCATATTTAACATATATATGTATATTAACATTAAGATTATATGCGTAATTGAGAATCAATTTCTATATAAAATCAGCAATATCGCGTTTTGAAAAATTTATCAAAATTATTCGTTCCCTATATACAAAGGGAAATAAAAGTTTTTTTTAAATAAAGAATAAAATTTTCTTTTTTTTTCAATAAAAAATCTACCAAAAATCTATCAAAAAGTCTATCAAAAAAAAATATATATATGGCGTTTGCAGTATCATCACCACTTCCTTCCGATTATGTTCAAGCGGACCCGAGAATGTTCTTTTCTTACCACCCAGAAAATACATCGTTTCAAAAAGGATATCTTGGTATAAGTACAACCACAATTTCCGGTACATTTCACGTAAGGTTTCCACAAGCTATTGAAGCAAAGAATATAACACTTACGTTTATTGGTAGAGAAATTGTGGAATGGGCAGATTTGAAAAAAGTTAGAGCGGAAAAAATTATTGTAAATAAAAGTGTTTACCTTTGGCAAACAACATCAGAATTAGGACATGAACTTTTAACAGATTTAGATTTACCATTTGAATTTCCAATTCCTGAAGATGCTATTGAATCATTTGTTACACATTATGGAAAAGTTGAATATACATTGAAAGCAACTATTAATCGTAAACCTAAAAAGAAAACATCAAGTGTGGAAGTTTTAGTACCAATTTATAGATGGACTATTCCTGATGAACAAGAAATGGGACTTTTAGTTATTAAATCTAGAGCAAAAGATCGAAAACTTCCACTTTCATGGGAAGCTATTCTTCCGAAAACATTTTTTGATATAACGTCGGAAAATATTATTAATCTACGTCTTACATCACATGATCCGGACCTTAGAATTAGAAAAATAGTAGCGTGCCTTAAAACTTTTACTAAATATGCTCTTGATGATTATGGAATTATTCCTATTAATCGAGACAAACGACATTCAAAATATAGAGTTCGTGGAGAAGATATAATAATGACACATACAGGAACTGATACAGTTTTTGAAACCAGTGTTATTATTAAAGTTCCCGGTGATGTGGCACCTACATGTAAGACTAAATATATGTCTATAAAGAATCAAATTCAAATTAAAGTCTTTTTTGAAAGATTTAATCATCATGTAATGATAATGAGAGATGTTATTGTTGGAAGAAATTTCATGAATGACCAAACCGCCTCATTTGTTAAAGAATCGTTAACATTATGACATTTATCTTATGGAACAATCTTTATTTTGTTTTGACAACTTTGACTTAATGTAAACCCAAAATGGGTTTTATGCAAACAATCGATAGCTAAGAATCAAAAACAGATAATTGAGCCAAATTAGATTATTAAAACTTTTTTTTTGATATTCTTACAAAATTTGTTAGTTAAGAAATCAAAAAAAGATAAACAGGTTATTGTAATTGGATTCGCATTTTAAGAGATCCTTTCAGTAATATAGATTTAGGTCTGGTTGATTTGATTCGTTGGCTAAAAAAAGAAACATTGATCGGAATCGAATTTTGAATTCGCATTCATTGATCAAATAAAAACTTAAGTTTTCCTAAGATTTATATCACATACCTTCTTAATATCACATCTATGCCTATCATTTATGCTTATTTGCTTATATGCATTTTTTTTATGCTTTACGTACGTACGTACTTGTTATCTATGATTATCTTGCCAAATATGTGTAAATAAAGAATAAGGTTATTTTCACAAAAGCGACCAAATTCATGTTTAAAAAGAACATTTTATTATATATGTAATAAAAAAAAAAAAAAGAATTATGGAAGTATACTAAGAATTAAACAATATAGAAATTTAGATAATATTGTTGCTTACTACTGTTATTACTCTACGTATAAATATTATTCTTAAAACAGTTTAAAAAAAAAATTCTAGTTAAAATTTTTATTATGGCAAAAAAAATGTTTATATTTTCGTACGTAGGCGTAAACGCGTTCATAAGATATTGATAATCATGTCCATTGTGACTTATAAAAAAAACGATAGGTTGAAAAACAACGACCATTTGTTTCAGATTTTTGTTTATACCGAATATTGTGAAAATTGTGATAAAAATTACGGCCTAAATTAAACACAATGTTATTCAAAATAGTACACAGGGGCTTTGTATACAGGGGCTTTGTATACAGATACAGTTACATACATACGTACAGCATTAAGTTACTGCCGAATATTGGTCATTCTAAATAATATCGATATCTGAAATTATGATCATTTGATTATATACAAATTCATGATTACGTTACTACAAATATTTTAAGGATTTTATTGTCCGATTTGTATATAAATAATAAAAAATTGATTAATATGTGAGCAGATAGAAATCTTAGTAGATATGTATGTAGGTGGTAATTTCAGACAAATTCATTTATACGTATCGATATAGTACGTGCATACGTATAAAATTTTATATTTTTTATAGAGTATTGTGTGATGTACAATAAAGAAAATTTATGCTATATATTAATTAACTGGCAACGTTTTTACTGTAACTCTAATACGTATGAACTAACCTTAATTAGAAGTGAATTGAACAGCATTAAGCGTATATATATATATATATATAGAGTTACATATATTATATTAATCATATATTTTGTATATTATATTTTTTAAACAAAATAAATAATTAAAAATTTATTAAACTTGTGTGCATGTAGAACTTATTAATATAAAAATAATGGAACTGATTATATAATATGGAATTCGATATGTATAATCAATACAATCAGTAAAAGATCAGTAAAAGATTGCTAGTGGATGTTTAAAATCATGTAATAATCGGAATTGGATATCTGATCATTGGAATTTTTAATTTTTATTATTTTCTGTTCAGGGTTCTGTAGAAACTGTGATAATAATTGTTTATATCGAAACAAAGATAAATCTGTCATGGAAACAAAGATTTGACATGGCAATCTAAATTGGTAATCAAAGATACGTGTATACGTATGTGTTTATATGTGTATTAATAATGTGTTAATATATGTGTGTATATGTGTTAATATGTATATGTGTTAATATATGTATATATGTATTAATTCGTATATGTGTTAACAGTGTTCAGTTAAATTTACTGTGCGGACGCTGCACAATTAATATATGCGTTAATACGATTATTGTTCATATTTTCATAATTTTTATTAACGTGCATATAAATAAGTAATTGTCATTATTCAAACACTTTTGTAAAGTCATAATATGTTCTTTTTTTTGTCAATATTATTGTATTCCGATGCCTATTATCTCAATTTCAGATGTATTTAGCATTATTTTCCTGCAGCCTTTTATTCAAGCGTACAAATTCAAGAATTAAAGACATTACATGGATATCAATATTTAGAGATATTACAAAAGAAGAAAGACTACTTAGAAATACACTCTCGAGAACAATTAAAGAATTCATTTAATCTAAAGAGTTATGTATGGAGAATAAAATTTGCCAATCTTGATAATCTAAAAATATAAAAGAAATACTTTTACATACGAATTATTGATTACAAATACTTTTAAGATCATAAAATTAACAAAGAAAATGCTTGACCAAATTAATTAAGCTTGAACTCTCAGAAAATATTATTGTACACTTATAGGAATAAATAATAGTTATTTCCTATTCCCCTAACCTAACAGGGGAAAAAATTTGTGAAACAGATTCTCTAATTAAAGTTGCGTTTCAATGAATTCAGAAATGACTACGTACTGTACGTACGTATTAATAAAACTGTACGTATTAATAAAATTATTGTACACTATTTACATTTTACAAAATTAAATAATAATTTAAACATTTAATTTATGTGTAGATTAATATGTATTGGTGCATTGGTATACGTACCGAATTTCAAAAAAATATGGTATCTTGCGATTATAAACGATTATTTATAATTTATTATAGTTTATTATAAGCGATGTTTTAATAATGTTATCGTCTTCGCGTTATGCACGTGATATATTTTTGATATGATTGGTACAATCTATAAAATATATAAAATATATAAGATGCAAACGTCAAAAATTGCGCAATTTGAGGTAAATTACTAATCGGTAACATGTATTACGGTAATGTATGTATTGTACATACATACATGTATGTAAATACAGCATGCATAAAATCCCTGATCGTGTGATGTAATATTTTTTAAACGTTATCTTTATGGCCACGAGAATGTGTTAATTTTAAGCAATTTCCGGATAGAATCGGAACCAATCAAGCAGTCATAATCAACTAAAAAGATGTTGGTAATTACACTAATTTCACTAATACGTACACTAATTTCGCGAATTCGAATTTCATTAATACATATACTATTTCATTAATTTCACCACGCAGTACATATACTATTTCATTAATTTCACCACGCAGTACATATACTAATTTCATTAATTTCACCACGCAGTACGTACATACGTATACTAATTTCATTAACATCACTAATACACTATTTTTGCTATATGCAAAATTAAAATTTAACCATTTTTTTTTAATTAAGAGCTGAAAGTAAAATTTATCGATAAAAAAATCATTACTAAAGTAATGACTAGATTATTTATTATTACAGTCGTAAATGAGAGATTTAAAGTTCCAAAAAAAAAACAACCCAAACTATTAACCAAAAAATAAAATAAACCTTTTACAAATTTTCCAATTTCAAAAAAAAAAAAAAAAAGTGATTCAATTAAATAGTTAAAATAGTACGTACGAAAATTTTTGAAATATAACTTATGATGAAATAATGTAGATTTGTGATGGATGAATGAAAAAAAAAAATAAATATTACCCAAAAAATTCAACTATCATTAAAAAAAAATTTTTTTTGTTTTTTTACACGATCGAAACGTTGGTATCATTTTGTTGATGAACAGTTTCTTCTTTAACAGTTTTAGTTTCACCAGTTCTTGTATTTACGGAAACTAATCTGTCAACATGGTAATAAGCCAATTCTCCTAGTTCAGATTCATCAAGACCTTTAGTTTCTGATTCAAGATCAGCACGAAGTGAAAGTCCTGGAATTTTATCCATGATATATAATATAAGATAAGTTACTACAAAACTATATGCTATACTAGCACCAGAATTGGCAAGTTGATAACCCATTTGAGCCCAATTTCCATCTATCCAACCACCAAGACGATCTATTTTATCCAAAGCAAAAACTTTTTTACTAGCAAAAATACCAGTAAGAATATTTCCAGTTAAACCTCCAACAGCATGTACAGCAAATACATCTAACGCGTCATCAAAATCAAAAATATGTTTTAACTTAACAGCTAAATTACAAATAACACCAGCAAAAATACCATAAATAGCACCAGCATAACATTCAACAAAACCAGAACCAGGAGTGATAGCTACTAAACCAGCAACTACACCAGAACAAAAACCAAGAGCTGAAACTTTCTTTTCTAATCTATAATCCATTAATGCCCAAACCAAACCACCAACAGCAGCAGCCAAATTAGTAACAATACAAGCAGTAGCAGCACGTGTATTTGCGGATAATTCGGAACCACCATTGAAACCAAACCAACCGAACCAAAGAAAAACGGCACCAAGAACGACATTAGCGATATTATGAGGTTTAAATTCATCAGTTCCATGACCATGACGTTTACCAACTATAAGACAATAAGCAAGAGCAGCGGTACCAGAAGCGATATGTACGGGAGTACCACCAGCAAAGTCTAAAGTTCCTAATTTGAAAGCCCATCCATCACTATTCCAAGTCCAACAAGCGATTGGATCATAAACAATAGTAGCCCAAATGAAAATAAATATAGCAGCAGGAACTATACGACCACGTTCAGCAGCAGAACCAATTGCCAAAGCTGGAGTGATTGCAGCGAACATACATTGATAAATGGCATACACTAAACCAGGTACAGCAGCTGTAGCAGTAGCACTTTGTGGAGCGTCACCTACATTCAACAAGAAAGCATGTTCTAACGTTCCAATAAATTGACTAGGTGCGGGGGCAAAAGTTAGACTATAACCCCATAGCCACCACTATAAAATTAATTGTGTATTATTAATTGAAAAAAAAAATTTATTATTATAATTTTATAATAATTTTATAATTATAATAATTTATTTTATAATAATTTTATTATAATAATAATTTTATTATAATAATAATTTTATTATAATAATAATTTTATTATAATAATAATTTTATTATAATAATAATAACTTTATAATTATAATAATTTTATTATAATAATAATAATTTTATAATTATAATAATTTAATAATAATAATTTTATAATTATAATAATTTTATAATTATAATAATTTTATAATAATAATAATAATAATAATAATTTTATAATAATAATAATTTTATAATAATAATAATTTTATAGTAATTACCTGAAACGATACAACGGCGACCGATAACATACCAAGCATAATAAGTGATAAGGCATTTTTGCTACGAGCCATACCACTATAGAAATAGCCTACTCCCGGAATCATAAGAAACACCAATGCTGTAGAAGCCAAGGTCCAAGCAATATCTCCATTTTGATATGTAAATGCTGGAGCCGCTGTAGCTGTTGCATTAGCTGTTGTATTATCACCCATCTTTGAATTAATTAATTTATTTTATTTTTTAAAAAAAAAATGAAATGTATTTAAGGGAAAATAATGAATTAGGAATTGATCATTAAAAAAAAAAACCAATGAAATGACCAATTTAAGATAACTATCGAAAGTTGGAAATGGAAAAGAAAAAGAAATTAAAGGATAGAGATTCCAAAGAATTATAATGAATTATACCCCTAAAAAGAATTTATTTCTAATGGGGATAACCAAAAAAATTCTAAGGAAGGTTCGTGTCTTTTTGTGCAAATTATTAAAAAAAAAACAAGGCAAAATGCACGAGGAACTGTAGAACCACTTTTTTTTGGCAAAGAACCAGTCCCAAGAAAAAATCCTGTTAGTATATTTATACATTTTTTTTCGTGAATTAGATAAACATTGAATTAACCAAGTTTATTTTGACTTTAATAAAAATGAATATTCTGTACAAGTTAACATTGGAACGACACTGATAATACCGATAACACTCACAAGACTACAAATATTTTTCTTATTTCTTTGTAAAAGATATTTTAGTGTAACCAGGAACAAAAATTCTCTATCAATACTTATTTAACGTTAGTCTAAAGTCATATAACATCATAGTAACTATGGAAAAGCTCGTATCAGGTACGGAATATCCGACATCCGGTTTACCTTTTTTGCAATAGAAAAAGGGCTATGTGTAACTTTGAATACTTTCTAATTCAGAATCAAGGTTTAACTATTTCTTTCGATGATTTTTTTACTATGCATGTCGTACACAAGATAAGGAAAAGATGTACAACTTAAAGGTAGAAGTACGTGTTGCAGGATGCCATTATATTAAAAGGAGTAATAATGACTTTATATAGCAATATTAAGTGGAGAAAGTAGATACGTAGCAATAACGACAAATGTTAACTGTTAACTGATATCTGTAAATTGCTATATTTATTTTTATTATCGTTTAAACCTGTTGAATTTAAACAATCAACTTTAAGCACTTTATTTGTAAAGCACTTACGTATAGTGTGATACAAACCAAAAACAGGCCAATTAAATAGCAAAAATTTGTTTGTCTGATCAATGACACGTGCGCAAAGCAAAAAAAAAAAAAGACAATAGAAATTTCACTCATTAAACCGACTTTAATGTCTATATTAAATCTGTTTTTTACTTGTATGACTTCTTATTAGTTTGTATCACTCGATAACAGGTAAATATTTCCTGCTTAAAAATCTTGGCAAAAAAACAACATAAATTACAAAAATAACCTATCTCTATTATATATTAACGAAATTACCCGAGCAAATAAATTTTTGTGTCCATATACATAGAACAGTTCCTCTTTATTTGTACATGTGTGATAATTACGGACTTAAAAAATTTCCGGTAGCATAAAATATCCTGCATTTATTCCTCGATAATCAAGTTTGCTACTAATCTCTCAAAAGATTATTATTCTTTGAGAAATAATCCATACACTTTGTGGTAACTTTGTCGAATTGCGTCACAGCGATGTTTAAGTAAGCATGCACGCATATACTAATATGTACAGACTTAGACTTTTTACAAACTTATTCACATCACTGATTATGTCACTATATAATTGTTACTAGTTATGACTCGATTTACATAGAAACAGCTCAACATAATTCTTTTCTAAAATAGTGACTTTTAGCAATATTTGTTTATGATTTGTTTATGATAAGATGCAAAATTTTGCTACTTTTTATTAACCATGTGAATATCGCTTTTGTTTTTTAAATTATAATTAAAATGGTTATATGCATGCTTTAAATAATTATGAACTCAATGAAATGACAAACGAAGAACTCTAAAGAACAATGGTTGTATTAGAACCTACTACTTACATGTTTGACAAATTTTATTTGTTCATTGTTATTAAATTTACTAACTATTTTGGTCAACTAATTTTTCTATTAACGACTAGTAGTATCATCGATCTTCTATGCAAGTTTATTATGAGTTGATAATCATCTTACATCTCATGTTAACATCGTCACGAAATACGTATACGTAGCAATTCATATATAATAAGTCTTCTACGTATTCATTATTCATTAATCGTTAATCATTAATAATTATTCATTTAATCATTAATTAATAATTAATAATTCATCATTAACATACCTTAAATATTCTAATGCATCTTCAAGTTTCTGCTTTTCATTAACAAAATTACGACAATATGATAATATGTTACTGGAAATCTTCACATGAATTATTCCCAAGAAAATCACGAAATCTGTAAATTCCAGTTCAAATTTCATTGTGAATTGTTAAATGATAATCTAGTATAACGCTAACGATAATGTAATTAGATCTGATGTAACATAAAAATTTCAAATCTCTTATCTTGAAAAATTTTCCTTTTATATTCTTTCTTTACATTTCAAAATAACAATAACAAAATAATTGTTTTTTTTTTGTTCTTAAATATATCCGATAGATATATAAATAACATAATCGATCCGGATCTCAATAATACTAAAGAAATCGTTCTGAATTACTAATCCGTATTTCTATTTTGCACAATTCATAACTATCGATACAAATACAAAGTTAGCCCAAGTGTTTATGTAAATATTAAATATTATGCTAATCTTTTAATTCTCTTTGAGGTCTCAATTTTTCAACGTGAAATGATTATATCATTTTGATTTTGTATGATGGTATGATCTAACGCTAACGCTAAGTGATGTGCAAATTAGCATTTTTTTTCCAAGTTTCATGTGTATGGAATTCTGGCCCGCATTATGGTAGCTCGATGTTGATGTGGGCCGGAATTATGAAATTTCGAATTAATCTCAAACCTCAGAAAATATTCCCATATGCACATATGCACATCAACACATCATTAGTATGGTCTTCTTTGTTTGATGTATGAAATACATAATATTCTATCGGTAATAGTATGTTACTTTAATTCTAAATAATAATGTTATGATTAATAAACATTGGCTTATTATCAAATCATGTATCGGGTATGACTAAATATCGCATGGTCGCAAATAATATAGCTATTACAATGCATAATAATGTGTGTATATACGTGCATACATACAATGTACATAACGCATGTGCGCGCATATATTCTTGTTTTAAATGTTACATGCATTAAATGTGCTCATTCTTTTATATGATTTTATATGATGTATATTCGCGACATTTAAAACAATCCTAATACCAATGTTCAACCCCTGTCTTACAAAAACTTTTACATTCCAAACATTAGCTCATTTCTTTCGTTTAGATTTTTATTCGTTAAAATAAACATCTCACTAATTAATAAACATCTCACGAATTAATTATCGTTTAACTGCATTCTCCACAAAATAATGTCATCAATAAACTTAATATAAATTACTTCCAAATATAGTTAGTCCCCCCCGAATGCCTAAAACCGAATACCTAAAAAATGAATTCCATCCTTTTCCTCCTTCCCCCCCGAGTGCCCACCTAAAAATGAATAATATCTTGATTAAATGCTGTAAAAAAAATACTATAACTTATTTAAACAATGTATCACAGAAATATGTAAAATCTTAAAACGTGAGAAAAAGGGGCAATTTAATATATATATATATATAGTTACAATGTTCAAACATTTAAGTTATTTTAATACGTACTGTATAAAGAACCATTTTTTATAATACCTAGTTTTGTGTTAAATTTTAACTTATATAGCAAAGAAAAAAAAACTTAATTACTGTACGTATCCGGAGATGTTACACGGATCAGGAGATAATTTTTTTACTACATATGAATTTGGTGCATAATAGCGATAGGCTATATTCAATATGGACGTAATAATTTTTTTCGAAAAATAGGTTTGTTGTGCAAATCTCGTGTAACAATGCCTCGTAGGGTCATTTTGCTACGTAGCAAAGACTCCATATAATGTATTTTTAATACGTACATAGGCTAGTGTATTTTATATCGATCTAGTTACAACATAGTGTAACTAACATAACGATAATATAGGCTGTTATCAATAGAAATCAGGAAACTTACCGTTTTTTTAAAAAAAAATTAATATCTTGCCTTTAGTGTTTCTATCCATTATTCATAGAGTTCCCAATCCGGATAATTCGTTATCCATTTATCCATTTCTAAATTAATCCGGATATCCATTTAGTATTGATATCCGGATAATCCAAATATTCGCCGGATATCAATAGTAAAAAACAGATATCCGAAAAATTCAGATCTGAATATGCAATAGATAAACGGATAAATGGGATAAATGGATAATGGATAAGAACTCTAATTATCCGTTTATCCATCGGATATCCGGATCTGAATTTATTCGAATATTCTTTTTATATCCGATATCCGGATACTTTACAAAAACTTTGAATTTTTTTTTAAATATATTTACAATATAATTAATATATAAGTAAAATCAAATTAAAATATACCGTATCGTCGCCCTGGGGAGTTATTTCAAGGAACATTGCTTAAAGAGAGCTAATAATTAACTTAACCGAGTGCAAACCATAATTTTTTGTTATTTAAAATCTTTGGTCAAATTAATTATTAATTCCCTTCAAACATTGTGTTTTAAAATAATATTCCAAGGTGTTATTTCATAATGATATGGTATTTTTTATATTTTTATTAATTTTCTTATAATTAATTATTTTATATAATATCAAAATAAAAATTTTAGAAACATATAGAAAAGAATTTCTATCTTAAATATTTTTAAATTACATTTGTGTTACTTAGTTAAAAATATTATTTTTTATAATAATGTGACATTATATTTTGTATTTTTTAATAAATATTATAACTAATTATTTTAAATTAATTTTTAGTTAAAATAGATTAAAGAAAACTTAAAATATTTGTTCTATTATTATATAAAGTAGTAAGTTAATAAGTAACTTTAAAAAAATATTTTTTAATAACAAAGAAATTATTAATAGTTGAAATTGTAGTTAAAATTAATATATATATATATATATTTTTTTTATTTATTAAAGCCGATATTA